TTCTTTGACCATGTTTTCCAATCAAGGGACAATGGTTTTAAACTTAACACAGTCTATTTTGATTTCACTAAGGCTTTTGATCGTGTTAACCATGCCTTTTTTCTTTAATTTAATTTAATTTAATTATTTTTATTAAAGACCCGTCGGGGTCCCATCAAAGCAAGTAAAAATAGATTTACATGCGAATTTTGGACGAGGTAGGCAAAATCTGTACAAAGTGCAATACATGGTTTTTGAGATTAGAAGTCCGTTAAGCGAGGGGTGAAAAAAAAACTCCAGACAATATTTAAAAATGATTGGATTAATTTTACAGGAGAAAAAAAAACCCCTCGAAAAAAATAGAAACAGAAAAATGCGGGCAGGACTGGCCTGCATGTGGCGGTATAGAATCGATTACAGTCGGACATCAACAGGGCCGAAATAAATGTCAGCTGTATATGGCATTGTATAACGGATTTCATGAAGGGGTAAGTAGGCGGGTCGGTCATGACTGGCCTGTATGTGGTCTTGAATAAGGCAAATAAGTGGCGAAATTTAAAACCAGTCACGAGGTGATAGGAACTTAGATGCGGCCAGTTACATTCAACCGAGTCCATCCGAGGATGGGGCAAGGGAGATGCGACCAGGCTACTGGTACATGGCGAATACAGAAGGCTTCGCCAAGGGCGTCGATGGGGCGCATTCTGTGAGGGCACGATGAAAACCAGTCTCGAGGTGATAGGAATCCATATGCGGTCGGTTACATTCAACCGGTTACATTCTCCCGAGACTGTCCTCTTTCGGAATAGGTGAAAGAACTTTTGAATTTTATATCCTCTTACCTGGGCACTCGTACACAACGAGGTAAGATTTCCAATACCATCTCCAACCCCACACGTGTGAGGAGTGTAGTCATTCAGGGTAGTATACTCGGCCCACTTTTATTTTGCCTTTTCGTTAATGATGTACCCGATTTATTTCAGAATGGTAAGCCTTTCATGTATGCCGATGATCTTAAAGTTGCATATCAATATAAGCTGGCAGATAATGACATCGCGCTTGAGCTCCTAAAGAGCGATCTACAGGCTTTCGCCCAGTGGTGCCGCACATGGCGCCTTTCTCCTTCTTGGCATAAGTGCTCAGTCATGGTGGTTGGCGACGACCGCCAACCTCAACTAAGTATTTAAGGTCACGCCATAAATGTGCTTGGGGTTATTAAGGATCTGGGCGTATCATACTCCAAGAGTCTCAATCTCTCGGAGTACTGTGCCTTGATAGTCCCCAAAACACGTAGAATGACCGGGTTTATCCTCCGAAACTTTAAAACTAGGGACATTAGAATGCGCCTTTTCAACATGTACGTTAGGCCTGGTCTGGAATACTGTTCGTTTTTATGTAGCCTCATGAGGGCTGCTGAGCGGAAGAAAGTAGAATCCGTCCAACTTTATTTTACCAAGCGAGTTCTAACCCCGGAACACCGATATTTGTCGTACAAAGAACGTTGCCGGCTTACGGGCCTTGATCCTTTATGGTTCCGTAGATTACAAAAGGGACTATTTTTGCTATTTAAACTCTTATATAATCACACATTTAACCCACTCACCTCTTTAAGACATCATGTCCACCCGATTTTTACATTCAGAAAAGCTCCCACAAATTTTGTGTGCTGAATCCACTGATCGACTGTACCGTAGCGATGGCGTTTGTGGTCTCTGACCACTAAGGCCGGTCTCGCCAGGGAAAATTTCTGTGGCCAACAGCGACTGCTGTTCTTCGGCGCTTCTGTTTAGACTAGCCTCAAATTCATGAAAGGCATTAAAGACTGATAATATCCGATACCGTGCAATTCCTCCCTTCTTGACGGTCGATAGTTTGCGGTCAACAGTTTCTTCTCCTGAACCCTCCAAACCATTAAAACCACCATCAACTTTATTTTTAATCCTTTTCGACAGGGAGTTTTTTTCACTGATGGCCGGATTTGTGTTGAGCGCTTCCGTGTCAATGCCTATAAACCGGTATTGGATACAATTATTATTATTATTATTAATTAATATTATATAGTGGGTTGGCGGGTAAACGAGTTACGGCTATTCACATAAGGGCTATATACAGGACAGATAGTTGGCCTTACGTAAGTGACCGGTATGCGGGGCAGAGAATTTTTTGAGGGCATACTTAGAGCTAGGTACTCATAGACGAGCTCGAATGCAAAGGATTAGTAGTTCTAAGAGAAAGCGGCATGCTACTGAATGGAGTTATGCTACCTTTCTTTTGAGTCGGATTCGGATTCAGTTATTGAATTGCACCGTTCTGACACCTTGCCTCAAATTACTTAAATAGATAACTCGGAGGACCCTGTTAAAGTAGTGTAGCTATCGGTCTAGTTGGTGTAGACGGATTTTCGTACGTTCTAGGTGGGCTATCAGGCGGATTAGGAGGACATCTGGGGCTGCTGTTAATGTGGAGGCAGACGAAGGCTTTAAGTGGCTTGAGTAGGAGAGAGCCGTAGAAGTAATAGGGAATAATGAGACGGATTTCACAGGAATACGACTAACTGAATTCTCATGGTTACTTGTAATATGACCGAATTGATGAGTATTTGACAAGAAAGGACGAGGAATTATGCGAGAATAGGGGCACAATTCTACGGTTCATGGGGGTAAGATCATGACGAAGGAAAACTTTCGGGTTTACCAGGGACACAGAAATACGATCTCGGCGGGCAAATACCGAATTAACCCCAATTGGTGAAACAACTTAACCAAGACGGGCGGATTTTTACCACGGGATGACAGGCGTTTGGCATCCCGTCACTTGATTCATTGGCAACCAGATGAACGAGTGAGCCACAATGATTGCATTCTTGAGAGGGGACAGCGGAGACATTCCCGTCAAACAATGTTGGGTCGTAGATTTAGTAAATGAATATACTCATTTGATAAATAAATAAATAAATAAATTTTTATTTAATGCCAGTTTACAGGCATTGTCAATGGAAGCGTTTAAACATAAATCCGACCATACAACATCCATACAAGATTGAGAATGTTCAACTGTCGCGAGACAACATTACTGTAAAGCAGAAACAAAAGAGGACCTAAACAGCACCTTGTAGAACGCCACTTGTAATAGGGCTCTCTTTGGAAGATGATGGCTTCACTAAAACCTCATGTATGACTTAATAAAATCAATAAGGCGATTGCAAAGTCTCACGTATTCCAAGTAAACTAAGAGTCTTCTATGTGCCACCCTATCGAAGGCTATACTAAGATCAAAATAAATAATGACCACAGATGAATGATCACTACGAGAAGGAGTAGCTTGAGAAACGACATACGACACGTTTCATAAGAGCTATCGGGAAAAAGCCACGTTGGGAAGAAGTGATAACTTGATTGGGTATACAAAAGTCAGTTATTTTGATGACAATAATATGTTTAAAGATTTTGGCAAGAGAAGGTGTTTTATGGACATTTTCATAGTTACGGACACCAGAAAACAGCTAGATTAAAATACTCCAATAAAAAAAAGAAAGAAAGCATTTTTGAGAAAGACTGGAAAGCGTTTGCTATGCAGGGAAGGAGAATCTCTTGGCTGTCTGATAAGCGAGTTCGGGATGCTGTCAGTCCTTACGGGGTGCGATTTATTAGGCTGGCTTATCAGCTTCTGAATATTTGCAGTCGCAAAATTAATGGCTGTGAGGGAAGCTCTAGATGGCAGCTATACCCCAATAGACGACAGATCGCGGATAAGACTCCGAAAATTCCAGATGTATTTTTAAATTTTCATGAAAATTCAGAAAACAATCACGTGCTCCCTCTATCGTTTTTGTCTGAATTCCGACGAATTAAATAAATTTACGACTTAACAAATGAATTGAAAACAAATAAGGCTAAAGCAGCACAAAAACATGCACCAATCTCACGCAAAATACAGTCCGAATTTTTTAGAAGTAAATAAATAATCACTGAAGATCAGTACCGTAAATCAGGACCATAAACTCTGGACAAGCAATGACAACTGAAAGCCCAAATGCCAAATTTATTCAATGACTACTCAAATATCTACACTGTCGAGGAAAAGAGAATCCTGCGAACAGGCAAACTAACGGTATGTGCCTTTAGTGAAATTTATCCATGTAAAGAAACTTCTCAATTCCACGTCTTATGGGTAAGTTATATTCCCTCATGCATGCTGAAACAAGTAATCTACGCCTCATCATTTCTCTCCAAACTATTCTCAGTACCCCAGTTGAATGTGGTTTTTCCCCTTACATGGTAATAATTGAGTATGGCGCCAGTAGTGGAAAGGGAAACCAGTCCTATTACCAAAGCTGTCGTTGTGCGCACCGAACAAGGCAATAATAAAAGACTAGAAGAATTAATCTACTTTTGAATGTCAGATTGTATGACAAAGACTAACTACAACACCCACTAAACTACCTGGCCCGATGGCATATCCGCTAAAGTTCTGAATAAACTCTCGGACGAACTGGCCTCCTCCTTTACCAGGATCTTCAAAAGTTCGATGGAAGCGGGGACTGTGCTTACTGACTGGAGGCTAGCCAACGTCAGATACATATTTAAAAGGGATGAGTGAGCCTCGCCAAATAGCTTCAGGTCAGTGAGTTGCAGACTAATGGCGAAAGTAGCAAGAAGGAACTCACGAGGCCTACCGAGGAAAACAACTAATTGCGCATCAGCATGGATTTAGAAGCGGTCGATCCTGTCCCACTAACCTGTTCGTATCCATGCAAGGCTGGCACGTTGTGCCACGGCCGACGAAATATAACTAGACCTCTCCCCCTCCGTACCACTGAGAGAAACATGACTGCTGTTAGCAGCGAACAGGCGAGTTCTAGGTAGCAATTCAGAAGACGAAGATGCGACAACTGGAACAGGAAATTTATTGGCGAGGACAGCACAAAACAGCTTCAGCAGAGGCTGGCCGAACGAACCCACGAACATAAAGCGACACGCGAAGCAGCCCTAGAGAGCCAATGCCTTAAGCTGCCTGCTCCAATGTCATTCAATAACGACAAACTGGTGCACAAATTGTCGTCGAAGGAGCTGACGGAGAAACAATTGCAGGCGTTACAGCATGAAGTCTCATTCAACACAGCCGATGCCAAACCTGTCAACATGATTGCTGCAGCGGAATCAATCCTCAGCCAGACGGGAGAAACAGACGAAACAAAGAACCTCATTCGACATCAAGTGTCATCCCTTCTCATGGCTCCTAGGCCACGCGACGTGCTTTTCAAGGTCGAGCACAATGCACTTAAAAACGTCAGTGCCGACAACGAACTCGTTATCGTGCCTGCGGACAAGGGACTTTCAACGGTTGTGTTAGACAGGACAGACTACAATCAGAAAGCCAAATGTTTATTGGAGGATAGTCAGTTCTATGTCCCATGCGAAGATAGCCCCATAAAAACGCTGACGCGCGAGATTAACGCGACACTGTTGGCAATGGAGAACTCAGGCGCATTATCGCCAATCGATCGACGTATGGTGAGAGCACAAGAAACGGCCTAGCCCGATTTAACGGGCTCCCAAAAGTGCACAAAGAGGGCACTGCTCTCCGGCCTATCGTATCACTAAAGGGCACTCCAACCTATGGACTGGCAAAGTGGCTGTTTCGACGTCTCAATTTTTTGACCTCCGATTCGAACACCACAGTCAGCAAGTCAACACAATTCTTAGAGAAACATAAAGGAGTAAGTCTCCTGCTGGGCGATGTCATGGTTTCCTTTGATGTCACGTCCCTTTTTACTTCTATCCCGCAGGACCTGACAGTCGAGACCATCTACCTACTCCTACGAGAGAAATAGGACGAAACGGAGAATCGTCTCGGACACACCCACATCATCCAGCTCCTGAAGTTCTGTCTCAAGATATACTTTACGTTCGATGGAACGATCTAGGAGCAGGTGAAGGGAACGCCAATGGGTTCGCCGATTTCGGGATTCATCGCCGAAGCGGTCCTATAACGGTTGGCGTCGCTGGTTTTCCGACACCACGACCGGAATTCTGGGCTTGGTATGTGGATGGCACCTTCGTCATCATCGAATGGGATCAGGTGCCGACATTCAAAGAACATCTCAACGCCGTCTTCCCGAACATTCAATTTACGATGGAGGAGGAAGTAAACAAGCAACCGGCCTTCCTGGATGTCCTCTTCTGCCGCAAAGTTTGTGATGGCCTAAAAAACCATAGTGTTCTGGAAAGTGACAAATACGACACAAATACTACACTTCAACCGCAACCACCCGATCAGTCACAGACGCAGTTGCGTAGGGGCGCTATGTTGGCACGCTGATACGCACTGCAGTGAAATGCAAGACAAGGTTGCTGAATTACGATATTAAAGCAGCTTAGTGTGCATCAGCATGGATTTAGAAGCGGTCGATCCTGTCCCACTAACCTGTTCGCATCTATGCAAAGCTGGCACGTCGCGCCACAGCGACGATGTACAAGCATACCTCAGTCAGATTACCCTACCACTTCCACTCCTCCTCACCCCTCCCCTTACCACTGACAGAAACTAGACCATAATTATCTCGCTGCCTCACAAGTCTGAGTACATTTACCCCAAGTAATAACTAGTGTTCATAAGTTGTTTTATTTTTCAAATTCCGCTGATACACCTAAATCTATATAAATGCCCTGGCCTGATAAAGAATAATTGAAATTGTACGTTCGGCGACTTAAGCTTCCTCATTGTGTAACTGGGCATCATCGCAGAATTTAAGCAATCCAAGGACCCCTCGATGTTCAGGATGCCCAGTGAGTACCTGCGTTACAGCACCTGCCTTGTCGAACGAATGTGGCTTCTGACTTCATCAAAGACTGCTCAGTCAAAGGTGAATATCCACATGGGTATTGGCGGTCGCTTCGTAAGTGCCGGACAATAATCTCTGGCACAACGCGGGAAAGAAATGCTGAGAACCGACTAGATGTCGCAACGAAGACCACTGGGCTGCATCGCAAACTCTCTCAACGCATGGCGATTGGGAACGAAGTAACCGACGAAGAGCAACAACAATTCCTCAGCCTTGTCCAAAATATTTAAGATATGCAGTGCGTGACCGATCTCATGGAATGTTGACCGAAATTCTGAAATGCGTTTTCGTCTAGGAGAAATTAATAATGTGACCTTGTAATATAAGTAATAATGTGGCATAATCCTATAGTATTGTGAACTCCCCAGGATGTCGGCTTTTGAACGCATCCCCTTTTGACCTTCCGTAGAAACCCTACTTGGTAAAACAAAATGACTACTTAAGTAGAATGCATTTTCCACACCGGTTTCCGACGGTTTTGTAAAATTAAATATACTTTATAAAAGACATGCACAAAATATGCTTCCTTTTACTTGTTTAGTGCAAAGCCACATTAACTTTATATTTTATACCCTAAGAAAGCTTATCCTTCTATGTTAAAAATGTTTCTAATTATGACGTTTTTAAGACCGTGCGGTGTCCATATATACAGCATCGCACGTGTCCGTTTACCAATGTTCCTCGCGAAATGTACAAAACAGCCGATATCCATTGCGAAATTTTATGAAATCTATATAGTGTCTTCTTAAAGGCACAGAGGAGTATATGATTTTTCTTACGTGGAATACATGCAGCTGGTAGACTGAGATCGCTTAACACTGATGCAACGGCTGATTAGGCTCAAAATTATTTGGGAATTGAGAAATGTTTTAAATTCTAAACTGTAACCTGTGAAGACGATATGATTTCCTATCATGTAAGTAAAAGAAAGCATATCTTTGTGCATGTTTTCTATGAAATATGTTTGAATTTACAAATCCATTGAAAACCAATGTGAAAAATACATGCTAATTAAGCAGTCATTTTTTACCAAGTAGGGTTTATGTGGAAGGTCAGAAAGATATGCATTCAAAAGCTGACATCCTGGCAAGTTCAAAGTACCATAGGATTATGCTACATGATAATTATTATCACAATGGCACATTATTAATCATTCCTAGTCGAAAACGCATTTCAGAATTTCGGTCAATATTTTGTGAGATCGGTCACGCATTGTATTGTCACACAGACGCCCAGATTTACCTAAGAGATGTGCACGCATGTGGTCTTACATGCAGAAAGTTCACATTAAGCCCGTTAATGAAACAGCTCTATAAAATCACGATTTTATGTCTCTTGGAATATTATTGCACCTCCTCTGTCATAGTTCTGTCCGATTTCAGTAACTCATTACTCTAACGCAATACACGAATTGACGCATAGCTTGAATCATGCATTAGATATATGTTCAAACCTGACTTGCCTTAGAGGTTACAGAGTGGCGACCTTTCCCTTTAAAAAGGCTTCCATAACAGAAAAAAGTTAAAATTGGGTGGTTCTTCAGTCACTGTCATTTAAAAACTTAAACTCCCATGGTTAACGGTGATTACTGTCCATTTGCCAGTCCAAAAGTCGCACAAATATATACAACACCTTTACAAATAATGCCAGTAGAGTTTAAATATATTATAATCTGAAATTGGGAAGCGTGAGTCCGTTCTACTTCGAATAAGCCATTACTTCTAGATTCAGCGAAGCACACTTATAGTCAATATTTAGCATGTATTTAAGTCCAAAAGAGATTTGGGACTGCAGTATACAAAAAACATATCCTTTTATTGACAAATGAAAGGCTAGATTGGAAGGAAAGCCTCGGCGGTCGTTTTATTTTGACGTAAGTACGAAGGCGCTATGAAGTGTTTATAAATCAGAACGTTCTGAGAAATTCTACACATCCTTGTCAAGCCTGCAGCGTCCATGAAATTTTGAGTTCGCACTAACGTAGTCGCTAACATTACGATTCTAGAGGTCGCTAAGCACAGCTGGATCAGCTTTCAGAAGAACGTCTCTCGCTGGAACTCCTTTTTCGTCCAGATAACGTTTGTACTTTTGGAAATCGATGTTAACCGCAAAGCGCTTGAGTAAGCGAATACAGCGCCTACTCAACAAAATTCATTTTGCTGTCAGCGAGGATATGATTATCGTGATGAAACCTTGCAACGCAAGTACAACCTTGCGGGAATGAAGAAGACCTTCAGCGTTCGGAATCCATCATACCAGGAAGACATCAACATCAAACTTTTTTTCAAGTCAGCCATGGTGATTGAATTTATTTGAAAGCGCTCCATCCGACCTTCGAACATACCGTATTGCGGGACCTGTGCACGCGGCAGGGGCGACCGTAACCTTGGAGGTGTTTTCGCGGTGACGTCTACAATGACCGGAAAAGGCATTGGAGACCAGTCTAACAGCTGTTTACTGAGGCTAGTGGGGTCGATGTGATATTTTCTGAGGCCTACGGACCTCAAACCAGTAGCTGTTGGTCATTTTTGGGCCGTCCGTCATCGGCGCCCCGAACACGACTAGGTTTTAATCGTCAGACGAAATCTTCGAGTGCTGTTCACACGGGACGCCTGCGATTTAGAAAAAATCCAGTCGGGAGTTCACAAAACAACCGAAACACAGTCGCGAGAGCAAAATCCTGATCAACGGCAGTTTTTCCGGCTTTTAGATGTACTCAGCGGCATTGGAAGCTGAAGTAAACTTTGTTCAAACGAATCCACGATAGACCAATATTCTCGAAGACCAGATGTTGACACGAATCAGGAGTGGTCTGATTTCTCCGTCCCCATTTACAAGTGAGGAACCAGTTTTGGAAATATTGTTTAAATGTTGATCGAGAAGGCGACGAAGTTGAGTGTCGCGCCCGGCTATAGAACTGACTGGCGCCTTACTTTCCCACCACCACCTGCCTGAGCAAATGGCCTTGTGACGTTGGAGATCAATGATGTGGCCGTGGCGGACTCATTCCAGAGACCAACAACCAGGAGGCTGAGAAAAGCTCTTAAGCTGACCCGAAAAATGGCTCCCCTGGATCAGATCAAAAACTACCAACTCAGTATTAATGAAGTATAGGAAAAGATCAGTGGCATGGAAAGTGAGAAATGTCCGAGGAACGTTAAGCATAATTCTAAAAGCGGAAAAAAGAAGACAACTATCAAAATAAGATGTCATTGGACCAGTGCCGAAAGCCAAGTTAGGCGATTTCGCCAAATTTTCGGATAACGTGACCGCCAAGATAGCAGATGGCCGGAAGTACTGGCAGATTTATCATATTCGTAACAGAAGTACTGATTACTAGTGGGTAGAGTATGAATGAAACGATATTAATCTCCCTAAATTGATGGCTTTCAGGTAAAACAGTTCGTATCAACTTACGCATCGACCTAGAGAGTCTGTGTGTAAGTACTGACACTGACTTCTCTCATTTTTTATGGGGAAGTCGAGAAGTTTAAATTTAGCTGGTTGGCTGATATAAACTCCATAGTGGCACTCGAAGAGACTGACAGCAATGATGCTGCGGACACTAAAATGTCTAAAATTAACGTATATAAGTGAGTGGCTTAGGAACTGCATACGAATAACAAATACTGAGAGTTATTGACTGTTGACACAATTGCTAAACCTCGATGTCTTTCAGAGCTTAAAAGTTAAAAGGAAACATAGATAATTCCGAATACTTTTGCGAAAAAGCAAATGATGTTTTTATTTTGGAACGACAACATAGTTTGAGGAAGATTGTGCTGTCTCTGAATGGCTGCGCGCAACGAAACTTTGCAGAAATTACTTGGAAAACCTTTAGGTTTAATTTCTTTACTTTACGCCTGTGTAGACGATAAAATTGTGCTCTGAAAGGCTAGGATAGCAGGACGTTGGCGATAAAGCAATTCAGAGGCGCTTTGAACACGGCCGTTTTAAAAATTCATGCCTGCCATATCGAAGCGACACAACGTTACCATTTCATGTACTGATATTAATCCTCCATGTTGCGATGAACACGACATTTTTAGAAGTGGATTTATTGCAAAAATTGTAATAAATAACGCAGAACCATCGGCAGAAAAATAATGTGACGCTAACGCACCAGAAATAGAATAACTGACAGGGATGTTAGGTAATTTATCATGGATGAATACAACCCTGTTCATAAATTAGACTTTTTATCGTGTGCAGGTAAGGGCTATGCTTGACTATGGTCCATAGGCAAAACACATAAAAGAAACGTGGACGTGCTATCTCACGAAATATTAGCCGAAATTCTGAAATGCTCTCGCAATTCAAAACGATGACCTGAGTAGAACTGTCATGTCAAATATCTTGTCGAGTAATACCAAACTATTCTAGTCACGCAGGGATACCAGCCTTCGAAATGTCTTATGTCCGGCCGCCTTCATGAACCACCCCCTGTTAAAAATGACTGCCTAAGTAGTACGAATTT